CCCAGCTACTTGGGAGGCGGAGGCAGGAGACTCGCTTGAGCCCAGGAGTTGGAGGTTGCTGTGAGCTGTGATGCCACGGCACTCTACCCACGGGGACAACTTGAGGCTCTGTCTCAAAAAAAAGACATTGGTAGAAAAGGTAGTAAAATTCAAATAATATCTATAGTTTAATATGGTACCAATGTTAATTTCCTACTATTCTTGATAATTTTACTATAGTAATGTGAGTTGTTAACATTAGAAGTGGCCTACGGGATAAAAGAAATGGTTTATACTGGGTGGCGCCTGTAGGTCAGTGGGTAGGGTGTTGGCCCTATATACCAAGGGTGGTGGGTTCAAACACAGCCCCAGCCAAATTGCAACAAAAAAATAGCCAGGTGTTGTGGTGGGCACCTGTAGTCCCAGCTACTTGGGAGGCTGAGGCAAGAGAATCGCCTGAGCCCAGGAGTTGGAGGTTGCTGTGAGCTGTGACGCCATAGCACTCTACCAAGGGTGATAAAGTGAGACTCTGTCTCTAAAAAAAAGAAGAAAGAAAGAAATGGTTTATACTATACTTGCAGCACTCCAAAATAGAGCCAGTCATGACGGCAAGCACCTGTAGTCTCAGCTACTCAAGAGGCTGAGATGGGAGGATCACTTGAACCCAGGAGTTTAAATCCAACCTGGGCAACAGAGCAAGACCCTGTCTCTAAAAAATGAAAAATATTTTTTAAAAAATCAGTTCAAGGCTGGGCATGGTGGTTCACATCTGTAATCCTAGCATTCTGGGAGCCCAAGGTGGGTGGTCTGCTTCAGCTCACAAGTTCCAGACCAGCCTATGCAAAAGCAGGACCCTATCTCTATTAAAAATGGAAAAAACTAGCTGAGCATTGTGGCAGGCACCTGTAGTCCCAGCTACTCAAGAGGTTGAGGCAAGAGGCTCTCTTTACCCCAAGAGTTTGAGATTGCTATTAGCTATGACACCATACCACTCTATCCAGGAGGGTAAGATTAAGACTCTGAAATTTAATGAATAAATAAATAAAAGTTAGTTCAAAATAAAACATTGAAAATTTTAGCCTATATTAGCTACTGCTAATGTTTGAGAAAGAGATTGGGAGGGTGGCCTATATTTAAAGTTTACAGAGGTACTCAGACCCCAGTGAAGGCCAATAATACATTGGCAGAAAGAGTTAATATGTGTATTGCCAACAGGAAATGAATTAATGAGGGAAAATCAGAGCCATCTGTATATTAGTCCATCAGTCCTCCTGACCTGAAGGGGTTTCTGGAGCTCTTCCCACTCCAACTAGGCATGCTTTTTAAAAAGACATCCTCCTTGGTGCCTGGTGCTTTCAATGCTTTCCTAAGAATTAGTTAGGGAATCAGTAACTTACAAGAAAGACAGTACCACATGCCCAAGATACTTACTATTTAAATTCTTTGATAAGATTTTTGTGAATCTTCATGCAGAAATCTTCCACTGTGGTCCTGGAGTAAGGCAGTACCACTGGAGAAGTGTAATCTGGTAACTGCCCTTTGGGTTTGGTGTAACTAGAACAGAAGGGACATAGACATGGTCACCTTCTTAGAGTATCTCATGTGTTGAATGCAAACCAACCCTCTATCACTCCTGAGATCAGACCAGGATAATCTCCAATCTGAGGAAGAAAGTGCCCTCAGTATTACCCAATAGATAATAGGAACCAATTTACTAATTATCTTCAAGAGTCATATACTGTTAATAATCTCCAGAGATCAGGACAGTCTAGTTTAATTCCTATAGCAACATTACCCTATCCACCAAGACTTACATTCTCACTAGTTTCAGATAGTCCCAGATCTTTTCCAACAAGTCATCAAAATTCCAGCGGTGATGGGCAGAGATAGGTACACAATGAGGTACCTTATAAATAATATCCAATTCCTCAATGGAGATCTGGTCAATCTTATTTAACACATAGATACAGGGGATATAAACTCTATAGAAGTAAAAGAAATAAAGGGTATTAGTCTGGACTTGTTGACAAAACTGGCAGATTGATTACCAGCACCCCTCTCACCCAGACTCAAATCAGAGGCTCTCAAAAGCAGTTCAGCTCTTCCTCCTCAAATGACTTCCTATCAAAATAAGTATAAGTTCCAAAAAGTGAACTCCAAGTTGAAAAGCAACAAAATTCAGGCCCTAGTCCCAGACATAAAGCTAATTACTGGGAAAGCATGCTGCAGTGGGAAGAATGCACATTTGAAGTTTCCAAACTGATTCTAATCCCAGTTCTGTCATCTAAATACATACATGTGGGTCTGCCATCCAAAGATTCAGATCAAAATTCATAGATAAAGAAGGCCAACCATGTTATACCATTTTATATAAGGGACTTGCATATCTGCAGATTTTGGTATCTGTGGAGGGTCCTGAAACCAAACCCCCCCCCATACAGAGGGCTGACAGTATGTGTCCTTGGGCAAGTCAATTAATTTCTCTCAGAGTTAGTCTCCTATATTGCTGTCTTAATAACGTAATTTCTGGCTTGGCACCTGTGGCTCAAGTGGCTAAGGCGCCAGCCACATACACCTAAGGTGGCGGGTTTGAATCCAGCCCAGGCCCACCAAAACAACAATGACGGCTGCAACCAAAAAAATAGCCGGGTGTTGTGGTGGGCGCCTATGGTCCCAGCTACTTGGGAGGCTGAAGCAGGAAACTCATTTGAGCCCAGGAGTTGGAGGTTGCTGTGAGCTGTGATACTACAGCACTCTACCAAGGGTGACAGCTTGAGGTTGTGTCTCAAAACAAAAAAACCCATAATTTCTAATAATATATTTCATAATAATTTTTGAAAACAAAAATATAATTTTTTGCTTTTATGAAAACAGGGTACTACTCTTGTCACTTGGGTTAGAGTGCTATGACATCATCTTAGCTCACAGTCATCTCAAACTCCTGGGCTCAAGTGATCCTTCTGGCTCAGCCTCCCAGTCCTCCCGGGACTACAGGTGCATACTACCATGCCCGAGTTAATTTTTCTATTTTTTGTACGGACAGTTCCACTCTTGCTTAGGCTAATCTCAAACTCCTGACCTCAAGTAATCTTCCCATCTTGGCCTCCCAAAGTGCTATAATTACAGGCATATGCAACTGCACCTGGCGTAAAAATACATTTTTAAAACACAGCATATAGCAATGTTATTCCTGGTGTCCAATCAGTATGGCAACCAAAGTTGCTAATGATTAGGCCAAACCACAACTTCTAGGCTTTAGTTCCTTACCTGTAAAATGCCTAACTCACCAGGGTGCAGTAACTGTTATCCTAGCATTCTGGGAGGCCAAGGCAAGTGAACTGTTTGAGCTCACGAGTTCAAGACCAACCTAAGGAAGAGCAAAGCACCCATCTCTACTAAAAATAGAAAAACTAATCAGGAGATGTGGTAGGCACCTGTAGCCCCAGCTACTCAAGAGGCTGAGGCAAGAGGACTGCTTGAGCCTAAGAGACTAAGGTTGCTTTGAGGTATGATGACTAAGGTTGCTTTGAGGCACTCTACCAAGGTGACAGGGTGAGACTCTGTCAATAAAATAAAATAGGCCAGGCATAGTGGCTCACATTCGTAGTCCCAGCACTTGGGAGACCAAGGCAGGTGGATTGCCTGAGCTCATGAATTTGAGACTAACCTGAGCAAGAGTGAGACCCTGTCTCTAAAAAGTAGCTGTGGCAGGCGCCTGTAGTCCCAGCTACCTGGGAGGCTGAGGCAAGAGAATCACTTGAACCCAAGAGTTTGAGGTTGCTATGAGCTATGACACCACAGCACTCTACCAAGGGTGACCGAGTGAGACTCTGTCTCAAAAAAGAAAAAAAAAAAAAGAGGGCAGGCGCCTGTGGCTCAAATGAGTAGGGTGCCTGCCCCATATACCAGAGGTGGTGGGTTCAAACCCAGCCCTGGCCAAAACTGCAAAAAAAAAAAAAGAAAAAGAAAATAAATATAATGCCTAATTCAAGGCATTAGCTTTTGTTTGCAAATAAGGATAAAATAATTTATCCAACAAACAGGAACAATGAACAGGAAAGCAAGTAAAAAATATTATATCTAAATGCTAGGAATAATTTTAATAGTAGTCTAAATTATTAAAGTATTAATAATAGTAATGTTTCATAGAATAGGTATTTAGCTATGTACTCTGAGGTTAGGGAAAACAGACACAGTCTGGCCTGCAATGACTGCTGCAGGGCAGCTTGTATGATTTCTCAGATGGATTAATTCTGGGAGAACTGAATGATCTACTCTCTTTGACCATCACATTAAAAGAGCTTAAGGCAGTTCACAGCAAGTAACTGAAATAGGGAACTTGGCTATCATAATCAAATTTAAAAGCAAGAAAGGATGTTAGAAATAAAAACCAATCCCTCGTTTTACAGCTGAAGAAACCATTTGAGATAGTAGCACAAATAGAGTTAGAGTTGATGTCTGCCAGATTCATGATCCAAATTCAACATTTAGGCACAGACTACAAACTTGGTCAGTACCTGTTTCCTTCCACCACATCAATGAGGTCATCAGCTGTGGCATCGCTACGAAGAGTCACATCAGCATTATGAATTTTGTATTCAGCCAAAATGCTCTTCACAGTTTCAGCATCCAGCTCACTCTGAGGGCACTGAATGAGCATAGCAAACAATGACTAGATAGGGTGCACACACAAACACACACACACACACACACACACTTCCCAAAAGTACCTATCAAAGTACCTGGATAATTCAAACAAAATGCAAAGTCACTACTAAAGACACTCTAGATGAGAGTCACTAACTTCTAGGAGGAAATAAAAACTAAAAATTTTTCCAAACTTGGACGGTGCCTGTGGTTCAGTGAGTAGGGTGCCAGCCCCGTATACAGAGGGTGGCGGGTTTGAACCTGGCCCCAGCCAAAGTGCAACAACAAAAAAACAGCCAGGCGTTGTGGCGGGCACATGTAATCCCAGCTACTTGGGAAGCTGAGGCAAGAGAATCGCCTAAGCCCAAGAATGGAGGTTGCTGTGAGCTGTAATACCACAGCACTCTACTGAGCGGTACACTTCTCACCTCTTCTACTTTATGACCCTACTTTAAGAAGCTATTGCCCTTTTATTTTTTTATTTCATATTTGTATTTTTGAAACATTATGGTGTTAAAAAAGGTCCAAGAGGTACTGGGCTAGTTCTTGTCTGGTCTTTAGTATTTTAGGGAAAATAGAACTAAGCCTCCAGGAATCTAAGAGTATTATCTAAAACACCTAGTAGCAGCTACTGTGCAAAATTTGATGGGCCAAGTCAAATCCTAGGCATGTCTATGGATGTGTGGTAGGGCATGGGCTCCAGTTCTTTTTTTTGTTTTGGTAGAGACAGAGTCTCACTCTATCTCCCTCAGTAGAGTGCTGTGACATCATCATAGCTCACAGCAAACTCCAGCTCTTGGGCCTAGGTGATTCTCTTGCCTCAGCCTCCGGAGTAGCTGGGACTACAGGCGCCTGCCAAAATGCCCGACTATTTTTTTTGTTGCAATTTGGCCAGGGCTGAGTTTGAACCTGCGACCCTTGGTATATAGGGCCAGAGCCCTACTCACTGAGCACAGATGCCACCGTGGGCTCTAGCTCTTGACAAACAGAAAATTTTTTTTTTTTGAGACAGAGTCTCAAGCTGTTGCCCTAGGGTATAGTGCCATGGCACCATAGCTCACAGCAACCTCCAACTTGGGCTCAAGCAATCCTCTTGCCTCAGTTTTTCTATTTCTAGTAGAGACGGGGGTCTTACTTTTGCTCAAGCTGGTCTTAAACTCAAGAGCTCAAGCAATCTACTTACCTCAGCCTCCCAGAGTGCTAGGATTAAGGCGTGAACTACTGCGCCCAGCCTAGAAATTGTTTTGAGAAGACAGGTGAGGCTTGGCACCTCTGGCTCAAGTGGCTAAGGTGCCAGCCACATACACCTAAGGTGGCGGGTTTGAATCCAGCCCGGGCCCGCCAAAACAACAATGACGGCTGCAACCAAAAAAATAGCTGGGTGTTGTGGTGGGCGCCTGTGGTCCCAGCTACTTGGGAGGCTGAGGCAGGAGACTAGCTTGAGCCCAGGAGTTGGAGGTTGTTGTGAGCTGTGATGCCACATCACTCTACCCAGGGTGACAGCTTGAGGCTCTGTCTCAAAAAAAAAAAGAGAAGACAGGTGAGCAAAAGAAAAGTTGGTACCAAAAGGATCTAACGGGAGAAAGTGGGGAAAGTGAAGGATAGGGATCTTCCTCTCCTTTCTGCTATTACTTAAGGACAGAGGCACATGACCCTAGCAAGAGACAAAGTAGATTATAGCTACTTGAATATCATAGGGGAGATGCCAGACCACACCAGGGCTGGTCAACTGGCATCATCAAGGAGTGGTTAGATGCCACAAAGTAAATGGCAATGCCTTGACTGCATGTTGCCAGGTCTGAGGGCCTCTTCCATCCTCATCAGGGAGACTGCTAACCTCTCTCTTAATACAACACAGAAGACATCACCTCTCATCCAGATTATTACAGTAACCCTCTCAAATAATTTCTGTTTCTGCTCTTAACCCATTGCATTCTATTTTCAACACAATAGCCAGGATGATTCCATTAAAACCTAAGTCAAAACTTATTTACTCTGTGGATCAGAACATAAATAGTAATTACCCATCTTCTATAAAGTGAAAGCATTCATGGCCCTATGTGATGACTTCATCTCTTATTATTCTCCTACTTGCTCACTCTGCTGTTCCTGAACTATGGGAAGGCATGAGCTACCTCAGGGCTTTTGAACTTGGATATTCCCTCTACAAGAAACACTCTATTCCAAGATATCTATTTGGTTTACACTTTGATGTCACCTCAGTAAAGACTTTCCTGACAGACCTACTTAAAACTGAAACTCTTATACCAACACTCTTTATCCCCTTTCCTACTTTACTTTTGTTCTTTGATTTATCATTATCTAATATACTATAATTCACTCATTTATTTTATTTGCTACTCTACCCAGTTAAAATATAAGAGCAGGGGGTTCTGTCTATTTTGTTCCCTCTTCCATTCCCCACTTTCTCCACTCCTGCTCTAGCCCAGAGCCTAAAACAATGCTTGCCCCATGATAGTTGATCTATTAATTTGTATTAAATAAATGAAAACACAGGATACTGGCAGCCACCTATTGCATGCAAGAGTAAGATTGGTCCACATTCCCATATAATCCCAAATAGATAAGCCAAAAGAAGAAATGAAGTTGTAAAGGTAAGTCTAAAACTGATTCCTGTGCTAATCTGGAAGTCTTTATTGTCAATCATTGTAAGGTCATTGTGTTATCTCAATTAGCACAGGGAAAAGCCAAGAAACTTCAAAAGGTCAATGTCTATGGACCTCAATCCACCCAGAATCCAGTCCCTTTGGCAACCTACCCATATCACCTTCCCCACTTACAGTGGCTGTGAGATTAATGCCCCCCTTGTCCTTCTTCTTAAAGCCAATATTGGGGGGTTTGCTGTTCAAGCGAATGCCAAATCCTTCCAGCTCATTTTCAATTATTTTCTTGTGTCCCAAGGGTTTTAGGACATCCAGAACAATCAGGATCAAGTTACAGGTTCGGGCCACTGAAGAAACAAACCAAAAAATTTATGCTCAAAAAAAAGTTCAATAAAAATCTTAACTAACCCAAATTATACAAGAGATATTTTTTTTACCCTACCTTTAAGAAATGAAGGATTTTTTTATATATACACATGTATATGAAGTTCTTAAGTTTGCCAAAGATTTATACCAGAATTTGCAGTGTATGCCTTGGAGTCATTATATATTTGCCCAAGAGCTGACAAACCTTGTAGATAGTAGAAGTAAAAAAACAAGTCAGAATAAAGATACAAACCAGGAAATAACCTAACTTCCCAAAAGGGCTTAGAAAGATTTTAAACATAAAAAAGGAATTCTAAAAGAATAAGATTATCTGATTTTTTGTTCTATTCTGCTTCTAAGAGACAGTGTCTTGCTCTGCTGCCTAGGCTGGAGTTTACAGTGGAACCATCATAGCTCAATGTAATTTCAAACTCCTGGGCTCAAGCAATCCTCCTGAATAGCTAAAACTAAGGGATGCATCACTATGCCTAAATCATTTAAAAAAAATTTTTTTTAGAGATGATGTCTCACTATCTTGAATTAATCTCGAACTCCTGGCCTCAAGTGATCCTTTAGCCTTGGTCTCCCAAAGCACAGGGATTAGTCAAAATTATTGTGAGACTCTGCACCTGACCATAGCATATTTTTTGTCAACTTTATTGAGGTATAATTTACAAAAAGTAAATTGTACTTATGTTTAGCACATGGTTTGATGACAAATGTGTAAACCTATTAAATCACCACAGCAATCAAGACAAAGATTCACATTACTGCCAAAAATTCCTTTGTGTCCCTTTTCAATCAATCTTCCCCTCTATTTTCAACCAAAACTGATCTGCTTCTGTACCACAGTCTGCATTTTTCAGAATTTCATATAAATGGAATCATATCAAATGTAGCCTTTTTTTTTTTTATTTAGAATAATGTTTTTGATATTCAACCATGTTGTGTATGTATTAGTAATTTATTTTTTTTTTTTGGCTGGGGCTGGGTTTGAACCCACCACCTCCAGCATATGGGGCTGGCACCCTACTCCTTTGAGCCAAGCCACAGTACTGCCCTTATTAAATCATAAAGAAGTAGATCATTATCTCTTTTTTAAAGCCAAGAAGTATTCCATTTTATAGATATCCATAATTTGTTTATCCATTCACCTGTTGATAGACATCTGGGTTGTTTTCACTATGCATTATTATATATAAGTTTGCTACAAATATTTCTATGGGCATATATTTTTACTTCTCCTAGATTAATACTGGTAGAACTATTGTGTCATATGGAGGTATAAGCTATTAGAAATTGCTAAATAGGGCTCGGTACCTATAGCTCAACCGGCTAAGGCGCCAGCCACATACAACTAAGGTGGCGGGTACGAATCCAGCCTGGACCCGCCAAACAACAATGACGGCTGCAACCAAAAAATAGCCGGGTGTTGTGGTGGGCGCCTATGGTCCCAGCTACTTGGGAGGCTGAGGCAGGAGACTCGCTTGAGCCCAGGAGTTGGAGGTTGCTGTGAGCTGTAATGCCACAGCACTCTATCCAGGGGGAGAGCTTGAGGCTCTGTCTCAGAAAAAAAAAGAAAGAAAGAAATTGCTAAATAGGCCAGGTGTGGTGGCTCACCCCTGTAATCCTAGCACTCTGGGAGGCCGAGGTGGGTGGACTGCTTGAGCTCACAGGTTTGAGGTCTGCCTGAGCAAGACCAAGACTCCATCTCTAAAAATAGCTGGATATTGTGGCAGGCACCTATAGTCCCAGCTACTTGGGAGGCTGAGGCAAGAGAATCACCTTGAGCCCAAGAGTTGGAGGTTGCTGTGAGCTATAATGCCATAGCCCTCTACCCAGGGCAACACCTTGAGACTCTATCTCAAAAAAAAAAAAAAAGAAAAGAAATAAAGAAAAGAAAAAGAAAGAAATTGCTAAATAGTTTTCCAAGTATTTGTACAATGTTACACTCTCATCAGCAATGTACAAGTTTCAACTGTTCCACATCCTAACACTTGGTAGTTTCATTCTTTTTTAATTTTAACCATTCTCATGAATGTAAAATATCTCACTGTGGTCACAGTTCCCTAATGACTAATGATGTTAAGCCAACCTCTCACGTGCTTACGATATGATTCACATATTGTCTGAGTTCAGTCTTGCCTTTTTTGTTTGTTTGTTTGTTCATTTTGGGGACAGAGTCTCACTCTGCTGCCCAGGCTAGAGTGGCTTAGTGTCAGCCTAGCTCACTGCAACCTCTAATTCCTGGGCTCAAGTCTCCTGAATAGCTGGGACTATGGGCACCTGCCACAACACCCAGCTAACTGTTTTATTTTTAGTAGAGACAGAGTCTTATTCTTTGCTCAGGTTGGTGCTGAACTCCTTAGCTCAAGTGATCCTCCTACCTTATCCACCCAGAGTGCTAGAATTACAGACCTGAGCCATGGCCCCTGGCCTGCCCATTTATTTATTTATTTATATTAAACCATAGCTGTGTACATTAATGCAATCATGGGGTACAATGTGCTGGTTTTATATACCATTTGAAATATTTTCATCAAACTGGTTAACATAGCCTGCACCACATTTTCTTATTGTGTTAAAACATTTATGCTCCATACTTAATAAATTTAACATGTACCCTTGTAAAATGGAACACAAGTGTGTTCCCACCAATTACCCTACCTCTACCCATCCTCCCCCACCTTCCATCTCCTCTTTTCCCTTCTTCTTGGGATATAGTTGGGTTATAGCTCTCATATGAAAGCTATAAATTGGTTTCATTCCCTGGGCTGAGTACATTCAATACTTTTTCTTCCATTCTTGAGATACTTTGCTAAGAAGAATATGTTACAGCTCTATCTATATAAACATGAAAGAGGTAATGTTTTCATCTTTTGTTTGTTTTTGTTAAGAGACAGAGTTTCACTTTATTGCCCTGGATAGAGTGCTGTGGCATCACAGCTCATAGCAACCTCCAACTCCTGGGTTTAGGCGATCCTCTTACCTCAGCCTCCCAAGTAGCTGGGACTACAAGCACCCGCCACAACCCTCAGCTATTTTTTTGTTGCAGTTTGGCCAGGCTGGGTTTCAATCCACTACCCTTGGATATGGGGCCGCCAACCTACTCACTGAGCCATAGGCGCCACCCAGCCTCCATCATTTTTAAGGCTGCGTAATATTCCATGGTGTAAATATACCATGATTTATTAATCCATTCATGGATTGATGGGCACTTGGGCTTCTTCCATGATTTAGCAATTATGCATTGGGCTGCAATAAACATTCTGGTGCAAGTATCTTTGCTATAAAGTGATTTTTGGACTTCTGATATATATGTCTAGTAGAGAAATTGAAGGATCAAATGGCAGGTCTATTTTTAGATCCCTAAGTGTTCTCCGAACTTATTTTCCAAAAGGAACATATTAGTTTGCATTCCCACCAGCAGTGCAGAAGTTTTCCCTTTTCTCCACATCCATGCCAACATCTCTGGTTTTGGGATTTTGTGATGTGGGCTAATCTTACCGGGGTTAGATGCTATCTCAAAGTGATTTTGATTTGCATTTCTCTGATGATTAAGGATGATGAGCATTTTTTTCATGTATCTGTAGGCCATGCGCCTATCTTCTTCAGAGTAGTTTCTCTTCAAGTCCCTTGCCTACTCTGAAATGGAATCACGTATTCTTTTCTTGCTAATACATTTGAGTTCTCTGTGGATTCTGGTTATTAAACCTTCTATAGAGACATTACCTGCAAATATCTTCTCCCATTCTGAGGGCTGTCTGCTTGCTTTACTTAACTGTGTTTTTGGCTGTGCAGAAGCTTTTTTAGTTTGATCAGATCCTAGTAATATATTTCTGGTGTTGCCTCAATTGCCTGGGGGGTCTTCTTCATAAAATATTCGCCCATGCCAATTTCTTCAAGTATTTTCCCTGCACTTTCTTCTAGTATTTTTATAGTTTCATGTCTTAAGTTTAAATCTTTAATCCAGTGAGAGTTTATCTTAATTAATGGTGAAAGGTGTGGGTCCAGTTTCAGTCTTTTACAAGTAGCCAGTCAGTTCACCCAGCACCATTTGCTAAATAGGGAATCGTTTCCCCACTCAATGTTTTTAATTGGCTTATCAAAGATCAGATAACAGTAAGTAGCTGGGTTCATCTCTTGGTTCTCTATTCTGTTCCATACATCTACCTCTCTGTTTTTGTGCCAGTAACATGCTGTTTTGATCCCTATCGATTTATACTATAATCTGAGGTCTGGTAGCGTGATTCCTCCTGCTTTGTTTTTATTTCTGAGTAATGTCTTGGCTAGTTGAGGTTTTTTCTGACTCCATATAAAACAAAGTATTATTTTTTTGAGATCTTTAAAGTATGACAGTGGAGCTTTAATAAGGATTTCATTAAAATTATATATTGCTTTGGGTAGTATGGACATTTTAACATTGTTGATTCTTCCCAGCCATGAGCATGGTACGTTTTTCCATTTGTTAACATCTTCGGCTATTTCTTTTCTTAGAGTTTCACAGTTCTCTTTATAGAGATCTTTCATGTCCTTTGTTAGGTAAACTCACAAATATTTCATCTTCTTTGGCATTACTGTGAAAGAAATGGAGTCCTTGACTGTTTTTTTAGCTTGACTATTGCTGGTATATATAAAGGCTACAGATTTATGAGTGCTGATTTTGTAACCTGAGACACTGTATTCCTTAATCACTTCTAAGAGTCTTGTAGTAGAATCCCTGGTGTTTTCCAAATATATAATCATATCATCTGCAAAGAGTGAAAGTTTGATCTCCCCTGACCCTATATGGATACCCTTGATCGCTTTTTCTTGCCTAATTGTGATGGCTAAGACTTCCATTACAATGTTGAAAAGCAGGGGAGACAATGGGCAACCTTGCCTGGTTCCTGATCCGAGTGGAAATGATTTCAATTTAAGTCCATTCAATAAAATATTGGCTGTGGGTTTGCTGTAGATGGCCTCTATTAGTTTTATAAAT